ACTGCAGAAAAGCAGAGGACGAGGGTTGGGAGCTGGAAGAAGAGGTTAGTGGGAGTGGAAGTAGGCTGGGAAAATGCAGGATACTTGCCAGCAACATTGCCGCCCCCTCTGAGCTTAGCGATGATGAACTGAAACAGGTGCAGTGGGAGAGAATGGAGGGATCCAAGGCTTCTGAGGGCTCTCTGTGCTGGGATGTACAGAGAAAGCTGGTTCTTAGTGGCTGCAGGTATCAGCTCTCTCCTGATGATGGTCAGGGTCATTGCAAGGAGGAGATCTTTAGTCATGCAGAGGCCAGCCTGTCTTCTCAACACAGGAAGACAATGCCATCGCCCCCAAATCTAATTAGAGAGGGTGGGGAGGGAGTCACCAGTAGTCCTCAACTCCCCCAATACCCCATCTGTCTCAGTGGGCTTGGGCTGCCACAATAAATACCAAAGACTGGGTACTTAACTAACTGTGGACTTGTACTTAACAATGGACATTTACTGTTCCCAGTCTGGAGGCTGGGAGCCCCAGAACAGGTTGCCAGCATGGTTGGATTCTGATGGGAACCCTTGCTTACAGACAGCTGTCCTCCCACTGTGTCCTCACAAAACAGAGAGTGAGTGAGGTCTCTGGTGTCTCTTCTCATAAGGGCTCTAATCCCATTTTGGGGTCCCCACCATGGCCTCATTGATCCTCATCACCTCCCAAAGGCCCCCCCACCAGTAATGGTACCAGTAAATGCCATTACATGGGGGGTTAGGGCTTCAGCATATGAATCTGGCACGCACACAGTTCAGTCAACAGCACCATCCAACCTACTCTTGACCTCCAAGAACCCAGATGCTGAACTTCACAACAGAGAAGGGACAGAAAGAGGCCCCCAGATCTTACAGGGGATGTCTACATCACTGGCAACCAAGTGGAAAAGAAAAATCTTTCATCTTTACATTTCTTATCATTATATCTTACAGAGTTGTCATACCTGATATGGTAGCCACAGGCCATACGTGCATTGACACGTTGATAGTCAGAATGGAGATATGCTACAAGTGCAAAATATACACACCAGGTTTCAAAGACTTAATATTTTTAAAAAAGGAAAAGATCTCAATAATCTTTTATGTCAATTACATGTTGAAATAATAGTATGTTGGGATATGGGGTTAAATTATTAAATGAATTTCATCTGTTTCTTCTTATTTTAAAAATGTGGTTACTAGAAAATCTAAAATTATATACGTGGTTCACATTTGTGGCTTGTATGAGATTCTGTTGGAGAGATGCTAGAGAGAGGACCCCACATTGAAAACGGCCCCCAGCATGGCAGGCCTCCTGCCGTGGTTGATGGGCGCCTGTTCTGCCACCCGGGGATGTGCCTTACACGTGCGTTTTTTACAGCGGGGCCGTGCCTCTGAGGAGGTGGGGCCTCCGGTGTAGGCTCGTGAGAACACAGCCTTGTCGGGACACAGTCCAGGCAGCCTTGGACTGTCCCTGGGAGGCAGCCCCGGGGAGCTGGGGACCAGGTTCGTTCTTGTTTGGCTTAGGGACAGAAAAGTAACGCCCATTTTCCAACACTGGAATTGCCCCAGGAACAAGATTCCCAAACATGGAGATTGTCGGCTTCCTGCTCTGCTTCCTCCGAGCCATGGTCCTATTGCTCGGGAAGCTGGTAGGTCCCCAGCACCTGTTACAATTGGTCTTTCTCTTTATTCCTCCCTCACATGCACGCACGTGTGAGATTGCTGTAAGGTAAATAATGTGTGCGGAGCAGTGTTACTGAACTTCACACACCCATCCCCGTTTACTACTTATTAAAATCGACCATGATACTGCACAAAGGCAGCTTGACTCTGTCCCCGTTGCTCAGCCCTGGGCTGGCTCCCTTCTCTCCTGCTGCCGTAAACCTCAGTGCTATGACTATCTCTATCTTCTTTCCACTTGCATTATTTTGTTGTAGTGTTTCCCCCGAAGTGAAATATGTTGACTGGGAAATATATACAGTTTTATGGTTCCTGTGACTTTTTTCTTCAAATCACCCTCCCAGTGGAAGGCATCACCAGGTACGTCCTCCGGCGCCCCGTGGTTACGCGCCTGCGCTCTGTGAGGTGGTTGCCTCTGGCCCTGCCAGTTCTGGTATTGAGCATTTTTTTTTTATTTTTACCAGTTAATTGTTATGTAACACAAGCTTCCTGGATATTATCCTGGCATTTTCTCGGTTGCAAATGAGAATGAGTACTGTCCTTCCCTTAAAATTTACACAAATTAAAGAACAGTCACCATCTCCATAGTCTAGAGAAACACTTTCAGCTCCCCTTTCCCTGTGTGGTGTAGAAAAATCCTGGCATGTCTTAGTTGTCATATGTTGATTGTTCAGAATTAGAGACATTCAGGTTTATATGCAAAAAAGGCTGCAGGAGATGTGGCTGATGCCTTATTAAAACCTCAGGAAGACCCCAGCTCTCTTCCCCAGGGAATTTCATAAAAGGTCTCCTTGGGGAGCACATGCTGGCCCTGCAGGTGACCCAGGAAGGCAGGGGGGAAAACAGAGAGGATGCCCCTACTTGCCCTCCAGAAGGCACCTTATAATAAGTAATGGGAGGAGATCACTTCCTTCCAAACCTGATAGCCTCTGCCCTGCATTGCAACACACCCCAGTCATGTTAATTTCCAAGCCCAACATCTCAAAAATCAGAGAAATAAAAGAGTTCATGTTAACACTCATAGAATAGATGGCTTCTTTTTATAATTACTGGGTCCCCCCACCAAGGCTTCCTCCTCAGCTGCCTCCTTGCCCTGCTGGCAGCCTCCTGCTGTTTCCTGCCTATCTTGCTGCCATCGCCTGGCCAACCACGGGGGGCCAACCCACAACCAGCCCTCTGCTCAAGTCGGGGCCACCTCACCCTCTGCTGGGAACCAGCAATGAGGGTCTGGGGGGCTTTAATCCCACCTGGGAAGATGGCCACCAACAGGTGAACCCGGCCTTATCACACCCACTAGCAAAGAAAAACTAATCAAACCAAGATGTCTGTAATCACCCATCAAATCAATAATGTTCAAGACATTATCATCCTGGGGTGACTGGGTGGCTCAGTTGGTTAAGCGTTTGCCTTCAGCTTAGTTCATGATCTCAGAGTCCCACATTAGGCTCTGCTTCTCCCGCGGCCACTCCCCCCAACTCACACTCGCTCTTTCTTGCTCTCTCTCTCGCAGAAATAAATAAAATCTGTAACAAAAACATAGAAGACACTATCATCCCATTTCTTTTTTTTTTTTTAAGATTTTATTTATTTATTTGACAGAAAGAGATTACAAGTAGACAGAGAGGCAGGCAGAGAGAGAGGAGGAAGCAGGCTCCCTGCTGAGCAGAGAGCCCGATGTGGGGCTCAATCCCAGGACTCTGAGATCATGACCTGAGCCGAAGGCAGAGGCTTTAACCCACTGAGCCACCCAGGCGCCCCATATCATCCCATTTCTTGATGAGGATGTGGTGAGATGTGTACCCCCAAACCCTGGCAAGGAGAACAAGTTATCAATAGTGACAACCTTGAATGAATTTTGACAGAATTTAACAAGCTTAAAAATAATTAAATAAAAATATTAAAATTAAATTAAAAATTAAATTTTAATTAAATAATTAAATATTAATTTAATTAATTTGAAATATTAAATTAAAATATTAAAAATAAAAAATATTACATACTTTTTAATCCAGCAATTTCACCTTGAGGCATCGATCCCAAAGACTATTACAGACTACAGCACAAGCAGAATGTTAACACTGTTCATCGCAGCAATGAAAACCACACCAGGGATAGGGCTAAATACAACAGAATATTATACATCCAGGAAACACAGTTACAAGGAATTGAAACTACATCACAAATGTTATTAAATGTTAATTGGTGAAAGCATTCAAACAGGGAGAATGTATATATGCCGGAAAGACGCATACACAGCATTAAAAGGTTTGTATGAAACATACCAAATGTGTTAAGAGTGATTTTCTGGGTGGTAAAATTTGTCATGTTGTTACTATCCTTTTCTGGATAGATTGTTCTAAACTTTCCCCAATAAACATTATTGACAAATAAAAGGAAATGAATGGTTTTCAAAGACTACGTAAAAACTGAGTTAAGGAATGCCCAAGAAATCGGTACAGGGGCTGCCTCTGGGGAGGGCCTGGGGCAGAGTTCACGCCAGAGGAAGCCTTGATTTCCATTTATACCATCTGGAGTCTTCAAAGTACCAGGCTGGTATCACCTATTCAAAATTTTTAAAAAATGAAGATTTTTTGCCAAGGAAACACAGAAGAATACTAAAACCACAGAAGCCAAGAGGCGAGCCTGAGGGGAAAGCCCAGAAAGTGCTCTTACCTCCTAGGGGAGATAAGACTTGAGGTCCAGCCTGTCCTCTCAGGCCCAGTGCCCATCACAGTCACCCCAGGACCCAGCTAGTCCACACTGACTTCGCTCAGCAAGATCTGCTCCGTCTGACCCAAAACTGCCCAGAAATTGGGTCAGGGTTTTTCCCAGGAATGAAGGCAGGGTGGCCAGGGGAGGGACTTCAGCGGACATAGGGGCTAGAACTCTGACTAGGACCCCGTGTCCCCTGGGTCTGGGACAGCTGGGCCCAATACATGAGCAATGAATGGGTGAGGCTTTCCCCAACCCCACATTCACCTCTATGAGTTAGAGAACCATCTACCATGGGGGTTTTTGTTTTGTTTTGTTTCATTTTGCTTTTTTTTAAAAGCTTGTTATTTATTGGACAGAGAGAGATCACAAGTAGGCAGAGAGGCAGGCAGAGAGAGAGGGAGAAGCAGGCTCCCTGCTGAGCAGAGAGCCCAATGTGGGGCTCGATCCCAAGACCCTGAGATCATGACCTGAGTCGAAGGCAGAGGCTTTAACCCACTGAGCCACCCAGGTGCCCCCAAGGAGAAGCGTCTAAATGGCCCACCGTCCTGTGGGTCAAAGAATCATCTAAGTGACCTCCACTTCCCAGGAGGAGGTCTGTAGTCAATGTGCAAGGCCTTTGAGGAACTCTTTCACCATGGCCAGAAGCTGCTGCTTCAGAGCTTTGCTGCTCATGACCAGCATGGTCAGCTCCATAGTGTCCAGCCAGCACAGGTGCCCAAGGATGGCCATGACTTCATTATAGAGCTTTTGCTGCTCACTGGGCGTCAGCTCCATTATGACCTCAGGAATCGGCTTGAACTGTCCCCTTTCCATCCATGCACTATAGAGTCCCCCGACAGCCCCTCCTAGAAAACAAGGAAGGTTCAGTTAGTTGGTCCTTATTCATAAATGGTGGCCTCAGGCTCTTGCTGGGAGCACGTCCACCGCTGTGACGAGTGAGCACATTCACACATGGGTGGGAACAGGCTCGGCTTCGTGTCCGCTCCACCCCACAGTGCAGGGGGCAAGGGTTTCTGGGATCCTCAGTCCATTTGGCTCAGATAACTGACACCCATACGTGCCCTTCCCTAAGCTCTATACTCACAGATGCAGCACAAAGTATCTCCCACCGCACAGCTCTGAGAACTGAAATCTTCTCTAGGGTCCACAGGTTTCCTGCTACCCACAAAACTCTCATCTTAAAGGACAGAGCTGAGAAGCCAGTGCATTTGCAAGGAGAATCAGCTCAGTGGTGAGGCTGAGTTTTCTCCATAATATGCTCTTTGCCCCGAGCTTTGGAGATTTCCAGTGAAATCCCAGGGTTAAAGGACCTGGGGACAGAGAAGGGAACCTTTCCTCGGGAAGCAACTGTTTTTCGTGCCAGCCCTCAAGAGCTCTATGATGATAACTATCGAATATAACTCATTCAACTATTTCTCTTCCTCTGACCCCAAAAGGGCAAAACCATTATTTTTAAAGGTAAATTTATGATCAAATTTCAGATGCACGATGTTGGGACTTGAAGCCCTTATGTCAATGGAAAGTTCTATCTGATCAGGTGGGGGGCAGGTCTGCTAAGGAAGGCGCCCTGGGGCAGGGGTCTCAAACTCAGGCACCCTCAGAGGGCAGGCAGGTAGCTTGGAGAAGTGAAGAGGACTGAGTGAGCCTGTGGGTGATGAAGAATGGGGTTGTGTCTAAGGGGCGGGGGCGACCCCTCGCCAGCCCACTGCTACCACACAGAATCCCACATGTGTATCCTGGAAAAGGTTCCATGATTATTAAATATCAGTCATCAGATATTAATAGATGCAGGCCAACTGGACTTAGTGACTCTCTCTGAAAGAGCAGAGCATGGAAAGGGGAGACACTGACTCCACAGTGGACAAACCGGCAAACACCACCTTAACCAGGTGATAAGGTGGACACAATCAGGGAGGCTGTGGGTGTCACATGTCCCTGAAATGGCACTATGAGACAGACACTACGCTGCTGTCTGCGGTATAGGGGACTCCTCACCAGTACCCAGGCCACGAACGCAGCAAAGTCTGAGTCACTGTCACAGAGCTGAGGAGACGAAGTAAGGAGATGTGAGGATTAAATACTCTGTGATCCCTTGAGCTGGATTCTGGGACAGGAAAAGATCATAATGCAAAAACGGGCAAAGTACAAAGAAAGTCTAGAGACCAGTTAGTAGGGACGCGTCAGTGTTGGCTTCTTAACTTTTCACAAGTGCACCGTGGTGGTAATGTTACGGAAACTGGGTGAGGGATATGTGGGCGTTCCCTGCACGGTCTCACCAATGTGTCTCTAATTCTACAACTATTGCAGAATTAGAGGTTTATCTGAGAGAATACAGCCCAGGCCAGAGAGAACCCGGTAGTGGGCTGGACCCCGCCAGCAAGCAGTAAAAGCTGCTCCCTCTCAGGAAGCCAAGGGTTGAGGCTTCTGGAGGCACACAGATCCCCTGGGGCTGAGCCCGGGCCAGCATCAAGCCCAGGAGACTGAGTGCTGCCCCTGGTCACCCTTCCCTTCTGCTCCAAAAGAAAGGAGGATTCAGGGAGGGGAAATCAGTCATTTACAAGTTTTACTGAACTTCTCCCCACAACATCTGTGAAGTGCTCAGCGCCGACAAGAGATGCACTCATCTGCACTAAACCTTTATGAGAACGTCAATATTTGATTTAGAGGAGCACTTCATGCAAAAAATTGCCAGGAATATCAACCAGCAAATTACTAACTCTTTGGACAAGAGAAAATTCCTTGGTTTTCTGGGTAAAATGATGCTCCACCCACGACTAGTGGCTTCAAGGAGCAAATCCCCGGGTTCCCCTGGCAGATATCCTGTTCTCTACCAGCTCTGACAGAATCTAAATAAGGTATGTGCTCCCACAATGGCATCTGGGAACAGCTGTAGGATAAACGATCCCATCAAGCCCTCCCCTGAGCACATTAGATGGAGGGACAGGGACAGAGATAAAGAATGTCACTGAGGAAGGAGGCCGTGGCCACGTTTCCTCCCCCACTGGCTGCTCCTTGGATGGTGAGAAGCTGCAGTCACGACTCCCTAATACACAGGTGGGAAAGGGACATGTACAGGTGGAAGGTCTGGGGTCACCCACACACTGATTTACTCCCCAGTGTGATCTCTGCATCATGAAATGTCCTTGAATGCCAATCCTGCCACAGAAAGGCAGAACAGGGCAGGAAGCCATGCCAGGAGCCAGAAACAGAAGCCAACCTGGGCAGACAGGCAGTCACCTCCCCAGCCTGTGTTCATGGGAGGACTGCAGGCAGTGCTGTCAGCTCTCCCACGTCCCCAGCACAGGCTGCCCAGCACAGAGCAGGCATTCAGTGATGTATCTGCTGAGCCCAATGCGGCAGACCATGCCTTTGTCGCTCCCCTGTGCTGCAGGGTCCATCTGAGGCACCTCACAGGAAGTGTATTCCAGCCCCTCCTCATGTCAGACCCACACAGCAGCCCGCTCTCTGATGCCACCCTGGCCCATGGTTCAGAACACACCAGAATCCTTCCTACTCCTAAGACATAGAAAGCAACCCCATCCTAGCTCCAAGAAATGATGGGAAAACCAGCCAAACCTTCATTCATAGCCAAAAACTGTCTCTCAAGTAGAAGCAGGTGGCAAAATCGGGGGACAGGGATGACCATCCTTGGATAGTTTGTTGCTTTTTCTGCATTAGACTGTTGGCTTCAGAATGGGGTGATCTCCCTGAATGAGCTCATGTAACATGGCCAGAGAGCATCTGCTCCTAAGAGGTGCTCAGTAAATCCCAGCTTCCTCCCTGGTTCCCTTCTGTAGTGACACTTAATGGTGACAGGGAAAGGACACCATCCAAGGGACCTAGGACACCCTGATATCTTCAGAGGGCTAGGACATATCCCTGAGGGGAGAGGCGCCCTCCAGGTTTGCATGACACACATGCCATTTGCAAGAATGCCCAGCATTTCCGTGACCATCACACTCAGAAGCTGTGTTTTCAATAGGATGAATTAAGGCCACAAAGATCATGTCACAGAAGCAACCTCAACTCGACGAACATCTCCCACAGGACAGAGACTTCTATATGGTCTCTGTGGTTTCTTTCTTTCTCTCTCTCTCTTTTCTTTTTTAAGATTTTATTTATTATTTGACAGAGAGAGACACAGGGAGGGAGGGAACACAAGCAGGGTGGTGGGAGAGGGATAAGCAGGCTTCCTGCTGAGCAGAGAGCCTGAGGTGGGGCTGGATCCCAGGACATTAGGATCATGACCTGAGCCAAAGGCAGATGCTTAACAACTGAGCCACCCAGACGCACTGTCTTTGTGGTTTCAAGGACTTTTTCACAACACCCCCTAGGTTGGCTGCCCCTTCAGGACTCTTACACGTACCAACAGCTAGTCCGAGTAGGCCCCCGACCAGACCACAGATGCAGGCCACACCTCCTGTGATCAGGGCGCTCCTCACAGAGTACCTGACAGCCAGCTTTATCTTCTTATTCTTAGAGATGCAGCACAGCAGCTTCATGACATCTTCCACCTTGAGGGGTTTCTTGGTGAGCCTCAAAGGAAGCATTTCAAAGGAAAACTTTTAATGAGTGTCAGAGTATTTGCTCCCAAATGTCACTCTTGCTAGAGTTTGGAGGACAGCCTCATGCAGAGAACAGGAGCTCTGCTGTATGCAGAACTGACAGCACCCAGCCATGTGATGGGTTCCTTGTCACAGAGGAAGTCAGGGAGCCGCTAGTTAATAAGCACACAGAACCCGCAGAATGGACGAGAAGTCTTCCTTGCCCTCTGCGTAACTTCTGATTTATGACAGATTACGGTACAGGCCCAGCCACAAACTGCATCTGTTCTTCACAAGTGAGGCAAACGTGCCCTCTCGCGCGTTTGCCACCTTCCTGCCAGCTCAGGCACCCCCAGTGCACAGAGCCTGGCAGAGGGCAGAACATCCCAGCCTCGAGTCCTCCGTCATGTGACAGGGCAACGGAGCTCATGCCAAGCCCGAGAAGGGGAAAGTACTGGGCTCCATGACCATCCCGGCCTGTGCCCACACCTGCCCCATGACCCTGAGCTGAGTATCAGATTCCTCACCTGTAAAGGGAGATAAGCCACCTACAAGCTGGATTCTGGAAAGGTCGAGGGGAATGGATGCAAAGTACCTGTTGTGAGTCTGGAACACGTGGCCCTGAGACCTGATGGCTCTAAATGAATGTTCTGTTACTGATACACACCACTGGCTTTTCTGTAAGCCCATCCAGTTCTGCATGGGGGATAGTAAAGGCAGGGACAGGATGGCCCTAAGGATGACCAGTAAGATGGAACAACCAGAGAATAAAATAAACCAAAGTAGTTGAGGGGTTGGCATATGTTTGGATAGACAGACAGGTGGACCTTTGGAATAGTGACCTTAGAACAATACTTGTGGTCAGGAAACTGTTGGCCACACTGATGGGAAACTGGAAGGCATGCAGGACCAGGACAGGGTGGCTCTGTGCCAGGGTCAGTGGGAATAGAGAGCCACAACACTGACGGGACACCTGAAGTAAAATCGAAGTGATCAAGGATGGGCTGTTGCTTCTCCTCATGGCTTCAACTGGACCCAAGGCTGGAAGGCAATTCCTTTCCTTCACTCCCCTTTTCATGCAAGGAGTCCCTAAAGGAATTTCGGAAAGTTTGGGGCAGACCCTGTTACTCAAGAACTTTTGGTTACCACTCCTTTTGATCCAAGAAAAATCCAGAACCAGACACTCATGTAGAATCATCCCCTCAATCCTGGGAGAGAATTTTCAGCCCCTACAATAATTTTCTGGGTCTGCTGGATCACCACAGTCAGAACTTCCCAGGAGAGATAAGTTAGTGTCCTGGGCTCTGGCCCCTGCCGTGTTCTGAATCAGTGATTCTCCACAAGTGCACCCCACATTGGACAGCAAGACTGTAAGAGACCATGACCTAGACATCTGACATTGACTACTAGTCCTTGAGCTCAGAAAGTGCAAATAACCATCTCCCAAAAGTGTCTGTTTGACCAAGTGGGGAGTAGAGACAATGGAGGAGCAGGCCTGCACGGGTACTCAAGGGACTGGAGGAGAAGTCAGGAGTCCCTGCGCCCGCTCTGGCACCATGTGTCCTGGACCTGCCAGCACACCTCCAAGCTTCCTGTCCCTTTGCTCACTACTACAACCCCTTGTAGACAGAGTCCATGCCGCCTCCTCCACCCTGGAAGACAGCCCACATGAGGGTCATGACTTGTCCATACACGAAGGTCACAATAATAAAATAGCCTTATAACAGCAAAGGGACTGCACATGGCAGAAGTCACTGAGAAATGAGGGGATGGAAGCTGTGACTTGATTTGCCCAGTACCCATGGTTCTGTAAAGCTATGCAAATGAGTTTTATTTCAAATATTGATAATCAAGGGAATGAATATCATGGTAAAACCTTTCAAAAAGCTAACCATCCTCCTGTAAAAGAGCTAATCATCATATAGTTTATATCCAGGTTATATCCAGCTTTCTATTTGTCATTATGCTGGGAAAAAGGGAGATGGAGATCGGACCTGGGAAGGCCCCTCTGGGGAAGGCAGTGAGCTTCCGGTTTCCAGGTGGGCGAAGACCCCAGGAATGGTCTGCAAGGTTGGCTTCCTGGCAAGGGCACTCTGTCCAAACACCACTCCTAAAACAGGGTTTCTGCACATTAATGGACCTGCACTCCAGAAACACTTTCTGCACAGCAAGAAAATGCATGGATAGGAGGCAGGAAACAGCCACTTCACACTCTGTCGTCCATCTAAAAACCTGGCTTCCCACCTGCTCTGAATGACTTCATACAAACCCACAAGGCTAATAAGGCATCATCGTGCAAAGACTACTTACTCCCAACCTCCACCAGCCCAAGGCAAGAGCCCAGGGCTCTGCAGACCTGGAGGGCCGGCAGGTGTCCTGGTGTGTGGGAGGGCACGAGAGGCCCACCTCTGGCTGGGTTCAACAGCTTCACACCACAGCAAGACGTGGCACTGTGGCTGCCTCAATGCAAGACAGAGCTGGTTTAATTTCCATGTGAGAATCATTTTAGACTTCAGAGCATCAACAGACTCTTGTGGAAGAAAGGTTTGTCACCCCATTTCCTGAGTCCTTAATGGAAAGCCCACCCTCCTGACTTCTCGGGGACTGCCAGATTGAGGAAGGAAGCCAGTCCTGCTTCCCTCCCACTCCAAGCTTGCATTTGTCTGTGAGCAGCAAAGAAGCCAGGAAGGAGGGAGGAGGGAGGAAGAGTACATTGATGGGGACCGAGCTCAAAGTGTGTGAATGGGGTCTCCCCATCCCACTTCACACCTATTCAGTATCAGCTTTTTCCACAACACGGGCTCTGGTCACAGAAAGCCCATCTGCCAGCCACAGGGAAGGCAAATGCCAACCTGAAGCCCTGGTTTCTTGCAAGCACCAGGCTGGTCTGCTGATGACAGCAAGGTTCTGGGGAAGAGGGAGATCAGCCCATCCCTGGGACTGCAGCCTGGCTTCTTGAGATGGACCAGATTGTGAGAGAGCAGGGAGAGGAAGGCTTCAGAGCTAAC